ACACACACACACACGCACACACACACACACGCACACGCACACGCACACGCACACGCACACGCACACGCACACGCACACGCACACGCACGCACGCACGCACGCAGACGCAGAAGCACACGCACGCGCACACGCACGCGCACACGCACACACTCCACACATACACGCACCATCCTCCCCCGTCGCCCAGCAGGAAATTATGAGAAACTCCTGCGTCGTCTGCTTCCCGGCCGCCGGGGAGTTTCTCGAAAAGGCTCCCCCCCCCCCCGCCCCCCCTACACGCGCGCAGACGCGCACGCTCACGCACGCGCACACACAGGCCTCCCCGCGCGCCGAGCGAGGGAATCGGAGAAACTGGTGCGCAATCAGTTTCCAGGTTGCCGCGGGGTTTCTCGGAAGTCCCCTCCTCTCCTCGCTGCCCTTCCTTTTCCCGTCGTCCAGCGGCGATGCCGAGAAACTCCTGCGTCGTCAGTTTCCAGGCTGCCGAGGAGTTTCTCGACCCCCCCACCACCTCCACCATCCCACCCCACCCCCACCACACACACACGCACGCACGCACGCACGCACGCACGCACGCACGCACGCACGCGCGCGCGGCGCGCGCACGCACGCACGCACGCCACGCACGCACACACGCACGCACACACGCACGCACGCACGCACACACACACACACACACACACACACACACACACACACACACACACACACACACACACACACACACACACACACACACACACACAACACACACTACACACGCGCACGCGCAACGCGCACGCGCACGCGCACGCGCACGCGCACGCGCACGCGCACGCGCACGCGCACGCGCACGCGCACGCGCACGCGCACGCGCACGCGCACGCGCACGCGCACGCGCACGCGCACGCGCACGCGCACGCGCACGCGCACGCGCACGCGCACGCGCACGCGCACGCGCACGCGCACGCGCACGCGCACGCACGCATTCACACACACACCATCCTCCCCCGTCGCCCAGCGGGAAATTCCGAGAAACTCCTGCATCGTTAGTTTCCAGGCCGCCGAGGAGTTTCTCGGAATTTCTTCCCCCGCCCACACGCACGCACGCACGCGCACATGCGCACGCACACACGCGACCCTCCCCCGTCGACCAGCGGGGAATTTCGTTAAACTCTTGCGCCGTTCGTTTCCTGGCTGCTGAGGGGTTTCTCGAATTACCCCTCCGCCCCGCCCTCGACGCCCAGGGGGCAGGGCAATTCAGAGAAATCCTTGCATCGTTCCATCCTATGGGGCTTCTGGAATCCACCCACCCCCCATCCGCCCCTTTCCCCCCTCGCCGCCCAGCGGGCAATTCCGAGAAACTCCTGCGCCGTGTAGATTCAATGCGATGGAGGGGTTTCTAAGAATTGCCGCCCCGCCCCCCCCCCCCCGCACACACACAAACACAAACACAAACACAAACACAAACACAAACACAAACACAAACACAAACGCATGCACACACGCAGACCTCCCCGCTCGCTCGCACGGCGGGGGATTCCGAGAAACTCCTGCGACGTCAGTTTTCAGGTTGCCGAAGAGCTTCTCGAAATTCCCCCCCCCTGCCCCCCTCTCCTCCCCCGTCGCCCAGCGGGCAATTCCTAGAAACTCCTGCGTCGTCAGCCTCCAGGCTGCCGAGGAGTTTCTCAAGTCCCCCCCCCCCACACACGCAGGCACACACACACACACACACACACACACACACACACACACGCACAGAGTGTCGCTTAAGTTCTGGGCGACGCAGAAGTTTTTTTAGATTTCCGAACAAATCCTGCGTCGCCTATTGTTTGGGCGACGGAGGAGTTTCTCGAAATTCGACACGGGTGGTCCTGCAGGCGATTCCTCATAATGCCCCCTGTGGTACATTAGGTATATCGAGAAACCCCACCCCTTCCCCCAGGGGGGGGGCCGGGGGGCGAAGCCCCCCCTGGCCCATCCCCTGGGGGAAGGATGTCATGTTAAGGAATCCTTAGTGAATACGGATGTCATGTTAAGGAATCCTTAGTCTGAAAGCCTCAAGAAGAACTATGAGAAACAAGGAGTCAATAGTAAGGAATCCTCACTTGAAAACCCTTTCGCACAGGCATCCTCAATCGGAAATGGCTTAGTAAGGGATCCGTAATAGGGGTTCCTTGCTAAAGAGCCCTTAGCAAAGAGTCCCCGGGAAGGACTCCGTAGGTCAGAAATCCTTCGTAAAAGGCTCATTCGTAGGAAATCGTCAATGGGGAATCCTTTTTAAAAAGGGTGTCCTTAGTAAGAATTCGTTCGAGAGGAATCGTGCGTATGGGGTTCGTTAGATACAGCCTCGTTGACATACACCCCTCTTTAGGGAGTCTTTAGTAGGGAACCCTTCATAAGGAATCCCGAACAGGGATTCCTTATCAATGGTTTCTCAAAAAAGAATCCTGAGCCGTGAATCCTGAATGGGGAACCCTCAATAAAGAACCACTAGTACGTAATATGTATCAAGAAATCCTTCGTACGGAATGCTCAGGTTGAACAGACTCGTAGGGAGTCCTGAATCAAGATCCATAGTCAGCAACCTTGCCTAGGAATTCCATGCGATGGAATCAGGAACTCTCAGCTGGACCCAACTGCATTCGAGCTGGATGCAGCTTCAGCGGGATTACATCAGAGCTGCAGCCAGCTGTAGGGATTGCATTAAAGCTGGATCCGCCTGTAGACGAATTGTATGCATGCTCGCGCGCACCCTCTGCGCGCGTTCTCATTCTCAATTCCTGTTTCTCTCCCTCCTCCGCAAACGCCTCCGCAGACGCCTCCGCAACCGCCTCCAGAAACCATGCAATAACAAACCAAACAAACCAAACAAACCCAAACGACCAAAACCCAACCGGTACCGATACCGCTACTCCCAGAACCTCTCCCGGGGTGCCCTCTGACCGGCATTTCGAAGCAAATCCAGTGGCGGCGACGAGGGCCGCGCACGAGGGAAGTGTGGCGGCATTCCTCGGATCCCCCACCCTCCTCCTTCTCACCCCCGCCCGACGGCTCAGCATCCGCCCTCGCGATGCCCCCGCTGGGAGGCTGCCCAGGCTCCTGGCTACAGGCCTCGGGCGGCAAGGTTCTGCCTGCGGGGCGGCGACGGCGCCCCCCCCCCTCCTCGGGATTCGCCTCCTGCCTCAGCCCCCCTCCCCCCCTCCCCTTTCCTCTCTCCCTCTGCCGAATCCGCGACCCGGGAACACGTCCTTCTTTAGTGCAGGTGGCCGCCTGGGTCGGGCGTATAGGCCGGCAGTCCCGCCCACTCGACCGAGGGTGCGCCCATCCAGGGTCTTTTTCACAACCATCCTGTGGTGGTGGGTCCTCGCTTTGAAGAGACAGCGCCCCGCGTCCCTCCTTCCTTCCTTCATCCTCGCCCTCCTCCCTCCCTTGCCCCTGCCCTCCGCATGAATACGTTCCGGCAAACAATCACACGTTTCGCGGCCCCATAGGGAGCTTCACCGAAGGCACATGTGGCAAAGCTCGCATGGCGGCCCCGCTTCACTTCGGCGCACCCCTCACACATTTCGTGGCCCAGGGAGCTCCACCGAAGGTCCCTGTGGCAAAGTTCGCATGGCGGCCCTGCTCCATTTCGGCGCACCCATCACACGTTTCGTGGCCCCATGGGGAGCTCCACGGAAGGCCCCAGTTTCAAAGATCGCACGGCGGCCCTGCTCCACTTCGGCGCACCCCTCACACGTTCCGCGGCCCCATAGGGAGCTCCACCGAAGGCCCCAGTGGCAAAGTTCGCATGGCGACCCCGCTCCACTTCGGCGCATCCCTCACACGTTTCGTGGCCCCATAGGGAGCTCCACCGAAGGCCCCAGTGGCAAGGTTCGCACGGTGCCACCGCCCTATTTCGGCGCACCCCTCACCCGTTCCGTGGCCCCATAGGGAGCTCCACCGAAGGCCCCAGTGTCAGGGTTCGCACGGCGCCACCGCACCCGGTTCGGCACACCCCTCACACGTTTCGTGGCCCCATAGGGAGCTCCACCGAAGGCCCCACTGGCAAGGTTCGCGTTGCGCCACCGCACCCATTCAGGCACACCCCGCCCACAGGGAGCTCCACCGAAGGCCCCACTGGCAAAGTTCGCATGGCGCCACCGCACCCATTTCTGCACACCCCTCACACGCTCCGTGGCCCCACGGGGAGCTCCACCGAAGGCCCCGCTGGCAGGGTTCGCGTGGCGCCACCGCACCCGTTTCGGCACACCCCTCACACGCTCTGTGGTCCCACAGGGAGCTCCACCGAAGACCCCACTGGCAGGGTTCGCATGGCGCCACCGCACCCATTTCGGCACACCTCTCACTCGTTTCATGGGTAGCTCCACCGAAGGTGGGGCTCAACTGCGGTACTCACAATTGCATATGGTTGGGTCCTTCACCAGGGTCTGTTTTGGCACCTAGATGGGGGGCGACAGCCCGCCTGGGTGCCAGCGACAGGGCTCATCTCCCTCCCTCCCTCATCCAGCCCCCCTCCAACGCCCCTCCCAGTCATTCTTCGTCCGCCTGCCATTCTACAGCAGAACAAGCGAGCGACATTCCCAGGTGGACAGCAACCAGTACTCCTCTAGGGCCGACATGGCCGTGCGTCAGGATGGGGGGGAAAAGAGACGAGACTGCCATGCCGATTGCGGGTGCCAGGACGGTGTCGGGCGGCGCATAGGGTCGGTACACAGAAGGAACGGGGGGGAGGGGGGATGGAAGAGCCCTAAAGCCTCTTCGGTTCCACCAGCCCCTCTTCCCCTCCTTCAGCGCCCTCTCCCTCAAATACATGGTTGAGGTAGCAATTTGACTGAATTCCTGAACAGCACTAGAACATGTAACACGAACTGCAAAAACACAGATGCGCCCCTATCCTCCGCTTCACCCTCCACATGATCCCATTCCCCCTCCTCCTCCACCTCCTCCTCCTCGTGCTCGTCCTCCTCGTCCTCGTCGTCCTTGTCCTCTCTCCTCCTCGTGTTCCCCTTCTCCTCCTCCTCAGCCTCTTCCTCCTCCGTAGCCATGTTTGGCTCATGCCCAGCGGGCGCTGGGCAGGCGCGGCGGGCCGCCCGAGCGCGGCACTCGGAGATGGCGTCGCCCGACCCCTGGGCGCGGCTGGCAGCGTTGCCAATCGCGCAGGCGGCCTTCGGCGCGGCGTTGGTGTGCACCATCGGCCCGGGTGGTTCAAAGCAGGTGGCTACGGCGATTGCGGCGGCAGCGCGAGGTGCGGCCCAAGGGGCCGCCTCCGCTGGGGCGAGCCGCGGTGACGGCGACGGCAGCGGCCGCTCGGATGATGGAGCCGAGCTAGTCGTCGAGGCCCTCGACGGCATGCAGCGCATCTTCGCGGAGTTGGACGTCAAGGGCGTAACCCAAGCGAAGGAGTGGCTTCGTGAGGCAGGGCGGCCAGATCTGGCGAGCCGAGTGGGCAAGCTTTCGAAGATTCGGAACGGGGTGGCCCACAAGAGGCAAAGGACAGCGTGGAGCAGATGAGGGCGGCCGAGACGAGTAAGAACTCGTCCGTGCCTGACGCGCCTTCGACCTCGTGCCACCCCTTCGGGCTGGAGGTCTTCGCAGCGGGGCCCAACGAGCAGCTCGGCAATGACATCAACATCGGCGGGCACGAGTGCAGCGACACGGAGGGCCACTTGCAGCACCCCTTCGTGGAGGCCCGCGCCGAGCTCCTCGACGTGCAGTTGGACTGCAGCCAGGCCCTGGCCTCCGCCAACGCTTTGGCGGACGAGCTTGCGGAAGAGCTCATGGAGGCTCGGGCCGCCGCCTGGGAGGCCAAGCGGGCCACTGAGGGAGCAGCGGCAAAGGGGCGCGGTCGGGAACGCTGCGGCGGCCCCCCGACGGCCCTAGGCCGTGGAGATCCTCACGACACCTTCGAGGAGGCGCAGGCCGTGCGCCGCTGGGCGGACGACATCGATGAGGGCACTGGCCTGGCGATCGATCTGCAGCAGGACGCGCCGCCCGAGACGCTGCCCTCGGATCGGGGCGTTGAGGTGGCTGCGACCATCGACGCCGCACGGGATGCCGCTCCGCCCGAGACGCTGTCCTCGGATAGGGGCGACGAGGTGGTGCCGACCATCGACGCCGCTCCGCCCGAGACGCTGTCCTCGGATGGGGGCGATGAGGTGGTGCCGACCATCGACAGGGCTGCCGCTCCGCCCGAGACGCTGTCCTCGACAGGGAGCGATGAGGTGGCGACGGCCATCTGCACCATGACGGCGACGACTGCCGCTTCGAGCGATGAGGTGGCGGCGGCCATCGACAGCAAGAACTTCTTCGACGGCGTCGTCGAGCGCAAGGAGGCCGCCCTCGCAGAGGCCAGGGAGGCGATGATGCTCGTCGCCACTGACCTCACCGATGCGATTCGCGAGGAGGACGAGTTGCGCGAGGCCCTCCGCCACGCAAGGGAGAAGAAGCACAAGAAGGGCCGAGGTCGGCGTGGGCCGAGCCTGGGGTTTAACCCAAGTTCGGCCTACGCTAAGGAAGGATCCTGTGGGGTCCCGTCGTGAGGCCTCGGCAGGGGTCCCTGGGGCTCCTTGGGGTCTTGCGGGCTCGTGGGGCCTCTGTGGGAATTCGGTTGCATGACCCTCCTGGGTCGAGTCCAGCCTCGTCCTCCTCCTCCTCCTCACCCCCCTGCGGCATCACCCTTCGCTTCCCGTGGGCAGGGGCGAACAGGACTGCGAAGCGAGACATGGCCTGAGGGCGGGCCGCCGGTACGGCGCCTGTGGAGGTCGGAGATCTGCTCGTGCCGCCGCAGCAACGCCTCGGAACCGAACTTCCGCATGCACAGCTCGCAGATCCACTCGCCTCCCGCTGGCAGCGGCGCGGCCTCGCGGTGCGGCCCCAAGGGGGCCCCACGATCCTCCTCAGCTCGCGTGCTGGCCCAATGTGTGCCTGCCCCGAGCAGCTCTGCCGACCGCACGCAGCCGAGGTCGGCCCTCAAAACGCCGCACGCATCGTAGTGAAGGGCTTCGGTGGAGCAGCACACGCTGGCGCTAAGACGCGTTCCCACGACTATCGAGGAGTGCCCACGCGGGGGACGGGAGGCTTGGCGGCGGAGGGAGGGCGAGGGAGGGGGCGGGGGCAGGGGCAGCGAGAGGAGGGGGGGGAGTCTTGGGTCGGGCGTGTCCCCCTACGGGCGGATTGTGGACAACAAATGACAAAGAGTCAAACCATACTCCAAAAATGCGCAACCATAATCGAAACGAAGTTTCCATACTATTTGTTGGCTACTTTTGAATATTCCCCCTGTAGAGGGACAGGCTCGACGTAAGAAGCGGTGACGAGGAGGCGGTGACGGGGGCGGGGGGGGCAAGCGGGGCCCGGGGGGGAGGCCGACTGGGGAGCGAAGCCAGATGGGGGCATTGAGGCCAGGGAGAGGCACGGACCGCGATGAGGATGCGGAGGCGGAGGCGGAGGGAGGAGGAAAGCGAGGAGGCAAAGCCCAGTGCGCAGCCGCGCGGCCTGGTCGTCCTCGAGGTGGTCGGCCTGGCCAGCTCGCGACGGCCGCTCTCAGCAGCCCTCCAGTGAGCACCGATGCATTCCTTCTTCTCCTCCTCCTCCGCCTCCTTCTCCTCTTCCCCTCACTTTGCTAGGTGATTTCCAGGCACTCCTCCTCCTTCTTCTCTTCCTCCTCCTCCTCCTCCTCCTCCTCCTCCTCCTCCTCCTTCTCTACAGAGAACAGCTGTTGTTGCGAGGAATGCTGCCAGACACACTGCTCAGCATCAGCGCAACCATCTCATTCGGTGTCAACAACGGCATATGCATTAGAGTCACCATCATAGCAAACATACACATAAACTTCAATTGGCACCTGCAATATAATATGATGTGGTCGAAGACCCGTCCGAAAGCATTGTTTGAGGATGTCTCAAGCGAACATGTTGCCTGCACAGACATGTTGCAAACACTTGTTCGTTCGCCCCCACAACATAATACCGACCCCTTTGGTATCAAGGGGTTCGGCTTCCCGTGAATGCAAACTGCGCTCGACTGACAACGACTCGATTGCAAGCAGCGCTCGAGGGATGATGATCAGCACAACTGTTGGCGTCGTGAAGCGGCGTCTTGATAAGAAGCGGCGTCTTGATATGCATGTACTGACATATACATGTACATGTAAATAGTCGGTGCGCAGTGTTTCGCAATGAACGAGAATAATTGAATTGCCGGGGCCCCGTCTTGCGAAAGAGAGAAGACTGACTACTTCCCGTGCGGATGCTGTGTGCAGAATGTTTCCTGCGTGAGCGTGACAATGAGAGGACTGGCGACAGAGAGGGAGAGAGAGAGAGAGAGATGAAGAAAGAGAGAAAGAGAGGAAGAGAGAGAGAGAGAGAGAGAGAGAAAGAGAGGAAGAGAGAGAGAGAGGAAACCAGAGAGAGAGAGAGAGAGGAAGAGTGAGATAGAGAGAGAGGACAAGAGAGAGAGGGAGAGAGGAAGAGAGGGAAAGAGAGAAAGAGAGAACGAGAGAGAGAGAGAGAGATCAACGACACGGGTAGAGCGACCCGCCGTCCCTCATAAGTAAGCATAGCAGAAGGGAGGGCAACACCAATGGAACAACATGTTTGGCCCAAACTATTTCCAGGAGAGTGGCACGTCGGCCAGGGCCTGCATATGGCAGGGGGGCGGGGGTGAGGAGGGGACGGTGGGCAAGGAGAGGGAAGAGAGGCACGGAGGGGGGCACGAGAATCGCGGGGGGAAGGGGGACAGGAGGGAACGGGCAGCCCCCCGGGGGGGGGGGGCCCGGGGGGCGGGAGACGGCGGGGCGAGAGGCAGACTACGGCAAAATCGTGCGCATCGGCACGCGCAGCGGGTTGTGACACCGCGTCGATCGCTCAACCCTCGAATCGATCGCGGCCCCGATCGTTCCAAATTGAATTCCGACGGTTCCATTGGCGTCACCGTGTCCCTCGGTGCTTCCGCGTCGCAGAATTCAGCGCCAGTGCGCCACCGCCGCGTGAACCTACCGTGCCAGGGGCAGAGTGGGCAAGGGTTAGGTCGGGCATGTCCCCACCCCTACAGGCGGATTTTGGCGGAAAAATCGAATATACTCAAAAAACCAAGAATAATCGAAACATACTAACCAAAATCGTCCCCAGACTATTTTTATAATATTTTTGAATCTTCCTCCTGTAGAGGGACAGGCCCGACTTCAGGCAAGGGTCCAGGGGCAGTGTGACAGGGCGCAGCGCGGATGGGCAGGGGTTCACAGGCAGAGGCAGCGGCAAGGCGTGGTGGGGAGGGGGTGATCGAAAGGGGGGGGGGCAGCAGAGAAAGTGAGCGCGAGGGGCAAGGAGGGAGCGGAGGCGCACACGTCGGTCGTATCAACAAAAAAAAAGAGAGATGAGAATCCACACACACACACACACTGGAACCATCGCGCGCACTTCGCGCGCGCTCAAGTTCTAGCTAGGCTCGATAAACTAACTCATGTATTATCATGTGGGTTGCTTCTTGCGTCCAGGGACTCCCTTGGAGGCCCTGCGCAAGCCTCGGAATCGTATAGAAGGGGAAGTGCGGAAACACAGAAATCATTAATTTCCTTCAGGTATTCGACGATTCGGGGCCCTCAAAGGCTTCCTGGGTTCTTTTTTGGGAGGTGAGGGGGGTCTGCATTGTGGTCTGTTGTGCGAGAGTAGACCGGGGGCCAAACTTGGAAAACAAACAAAAGGAGAAGGAATTGTGATTTCCATTTTTTCCAGTTCCTCGTCGCTGTTTTTTGGTTGTGCCTCGCGGGTTTGTTAGCCGGGCCCCTCAGGGGTGTGGGATCTTCTGGACCCCCTGGGGGTTCTGGAGGCCTCCTGGAGGCTGGAGGCCTGGAGAGCCGTCGGAAGGGTGTCTCGGGCTGCGCGGGAGCGTGTTGGGCCGTTCTTTACGTTCTGGGGGCTCCTTGGGGTCGTCATGGGCTGTCCTTCGGCGTCTTGGAATCTCCCCCTGGGAAGCCGGGAGGCGCGGTACCGGCTAGATATCAGGGGATGTGTAGGACACCCGAGTAGGAGTCCCACTTTGAAAAAAAAAGGAATTCTGGGAATTCCTTTTTTTTCTTGTTTCAAAATCATCGATCTTGGAGGGTTGGAAGCGGGAAAACGTGAGAAAGCGAAAAACATTCGAAAACCATTGGAAATCAACGATTTTACCCTCTTTGGACTCTAACGGGACGGCTCTCGCAGCTCTCTTGGGCTGTTCCTGGAGCCTCGTCGGGGTCTTTTCGGGGCCTCTCAGGGATCGGGGGTGTGTTGGGGGCCTCTGGGGGGTCCCAGAGGCCTCTCGGAGGTCTCTGGAAGCCTCCTGCTCCCGCTCTTGGACCAATCTTGGGCCTGTTCTGGGGTGGTCTGGGGCTGTCCTGGGCGCCTCTTCAGCAGTCATGGAGCCTTCTTGGCCCGTCTTGGGGCCGTCCTGAGGTCTCTTGGGTGGTCTTGGGGCAGCCTTGGGAGCCTCTTCGACGCTCTTGGACCGTTGAAGCTCGAAAACGCGAGAAGCCAAAAACATTTGAAAAACATATGAACATCTAAGATTTTGGCCTCTTCGGGCTGTCCCGGGACGCCTCTCGGACCTCTCTTGGGTTCTCTTGGAGGTTGCCTGGGAGCCTCGAGAGCCGTCGGAAGGCTGACTTGGACTGCTTGGGAGTGTTTTGGACCATCAATTCTGATTCTGGGCGCTCCTGGGAGTCGTCTTGGGCCCTCCTGGAGCGCTGTGGTGGCTCCCCGGAACGCCCGGGGAAGCGGACCCGGGAGCGCCCCCGAGATGTGGCGGGGAGGTGTGGCACCCGGGGCCGGGGGGGCGGTACACACATATATATATATGCATATGTATATATGTATATATTTATGCATATACACATACCTATACATATATATATGTGTATTCAATGTATATATATATATATATATGCTTCTCTCACCTGTTTTTGTGCACTCCGCCAGGGAGCTTGTCAGGCCAGGACCTCTGGGGGCTACTCAGGGGTCATTCCAGGAGTTGGGAGAGGTCCCGTCCCTTCAGCGGCATCCAAGGGCCTCCCAACCCGCCTGGCACAGCCGTGGCGCTTAAGCACCCGCGCTGCGTCCCAGACGCGCTGACACACTTGCACCGCCGGGAGGTTAAACGTCACCAACCCCTGAACCCCCTAGCTCTCTCGTCCTGGCAAATACTCGCGCGGAGGCAGGCACGGCCACGCGCGAGACGGTAGCAATGCTGCCCCCTGTCTGTGGGTGGGCCAACACAGCTACGGCAGATGGATGAAACTCAACCGTTATCCATCAACGGCGTCGCGCACGCTCAGGTGGACTCCGCATAGGTTTCCTTGGAAGGTTCATATATGCTTCTCTCACCTGTTTTTGTGCACTCCGCCAGGGAGCTTGTCAGGCCAGGACCTCTGGGGGCTACTCAGGGGTCATTCCAGGAGTTGGGAGAGGTCCCGTCCCTTCAGCGGCATCCAAGGGCCTCCCAACCCGCCTGGCACAGCCGTGGCGCTTAAGCACCCGCGCTGCGTCCCAGACGCGCTGACACACTTGCACCGCCGGGAGGTTAACGTCACCAACCCCTGAACCCCCTAGCTCTCTCCACGGTCCCTACTCTGGCAAAAGCCGCTCCCTCTTGCTCCTACTTATGCCCTCCACCTCGTTGTAATGAAATGAGGGAAGAAAGGTGGAGGATGGGCGGGACAGACAGACAGGCAGTACAAAGCAAGAAAAGTTCATCTCGCTTCTGCTCGCAGGCGGGACGCGAGCAGGCCGCAGCGCTTCCGCTGCGCGGGCGAGAGATTTAATTGAGTGGCCTCGGCGACGGCATCCTGGACATACAAGCGGGCCGTGCGCGCCGAGGCCCATCTGCCTCGGAGCAGCGTCTGCTCCATGGAGCCATGGCTGCGGAAGTCGGCGGAGGCGCCGCCCCTCCGCCAGCTGTAGAGGGTGAGCTTAGCATCCTGCAGTTCCAGCAGCTCACGCACTCGGCTGAAAGTGTTCATGAAACTGTTTGGCTCCATTCCGAGGCACAAGTCCTGTCCGTGCGCCTGAGCCTTTGCTCTAGCAAGGAGGGCGACCGCTACACCACTCCGCACGAGCACGAACTCTCGGGCACCAGTCTGATGCTGGCTCTTGGCGTTGCGCAGCTGCAGCACGGCCATTCGTCGGAGTGGGTACAGCTGTACATCGGACCACACGAGCGAGGTCATCTCACCCGTCCGGAGGAAAGCATCGTAGCCCGCAGCCAGCACCGCCGCAGCACCGAGCTGGCCTACGGCTGCAAATGCACCAGCGAATGCTGCCGCGATCAGCGGACCAATCGGCAGCGCCCGCCCAGCTGGCTCCAGTCGTTGCCACGTCTTGGCCAAGCGCCAGCTGTCCCGCAGGTGCCCTCGCACGGGCGGGAAAGCGTGCGTGATGCCAGCAATAGCATTATTAACTTCGAACAAAGATCCTCCGCTCAGCCAGCGGCTCTCAATGAAGGCGGCCACGCCAGCGTCGACCTGAGCGGGCGTCTGCGGCTGCCGG